CCCAAAGAAAGGCAATGCCAAAGAACGTTAAAACTACTGCACAATTGAACTCATCTCACACTCAAGCAAAGTAATGCTCAAAATTCTCCAAGTCAAGCTTCAACAGTATGTGAACTGTGAACTTCCAGATGTCCAAGCTGGATTTAGGAAAGGCAGAGGAACCAGAGGTCAAATTGCCAACATCTGCTGGATCATCGAAAAAGCAAGGAAGTTCCAGAAAAACGTCGACTTTTGCTTTACTGACCATGTCGAAGACTTTGACTGTGTGGATCACAACAAACTGGAAAATTCTGAGAGATGGGAATACCAGACCACCTTAGCTGACTTCTGAGAAACCTGTATGCAGGTCAAGAAGCAAGTTAGAACTGGACATGGAACAACAGACTGGTTCCAAATTGGGAAAGGAGTACATCAAGGCTATATATCGTCACCCTGCTTATTTAACTTATATGCAGAGGACATCATGAGAAACCCTAGGCTGGAGGAAGCACAAGCTGGAATCAAGATTGCCGGGAGAAATATCAATAACCTCAGATATGCAGATGACAACACCCNGAGTTGGTGATGGACAGGGAGGCCTGGTGTGCTGCAGTCCATGGGGTCATGAAGAGTTGGACACGACTGAGTGACTAAACTGAACTGAATTTATTAAAAAAAAAAAAAAACTTCTAGATCTAACTGAATTTATGGTAAGGATATCAAATATATAGTCAATATACTAAGATTCATTATATTTTATAGACAGATTGTTTATAGTTTTTAAAGAAAGTTAATTACAAATCTAAAATCTTATCAAAGAAAAAGAAAACTATAATACTGCCTCACATGATTATAGATGGAAAAACTCTAAATAATATATTACCAAATGAACTTCAGCCTTATGACAAAAACCACAGTATATTACAAGAATTGTTTAAAATTTAATTTTAATTAAAAATAAATCAAGGCACCAATAAACTTACACCAAGAAACAAATAGTAACAAATCAATACATCAATAAATTTAAGATGAAAAAACATAAGATTTTATCAGTAGATAACAAAATGGTCTTGGACAAAATTCAGCAGTTCACTAGCAAACAAAGTAGGGATTCTCTGGTCCCCTACAAATATTGAAAGGAATTATTTAGAGGCAACAAGAAGAATTTATCTCCAAATAGAGTGAACATTATAGCAAATGATTAAATACTGGGATATTTCTAAATTCAGAGAAATTGATGACTGCTATTACCAGAATATTCAACTTTGTTCTGAAGAGTCTATCAAAAGAAGAAAAGTAAATAAAGTAATAAGTATAAATATTAGAAAATAAAGTTTATTGTTATACAGATTATGCAATTTATAACTTAGAAATCTGTCTCATACACGTGCACCCCAATGTTCATCGCAGCACTGTTTATAATAGCCAGGACATGGAAGCAACCTAGATGCCCATCAGCAGACGAATGGATGAGGAAGCTGTGGTACATATACACCATGGAATATTACTCAGCCATTAAAAAGAATTCATTTGAATCAGTTCTAATGAGATGGGTGAAACTGGAGCCCATTATACAGAGCGAAGTAAGCCAGAAAGATAAAGACCATTACAGTATACTAACACATATATATGGAATTTAGAAAGATGGTAACGATAACCCTATATGCAAAAAAAGATAAAGAGACTCAGATGTATAGAACAGACTTGTGGACTCTGTGGGAGAAGGCGAGGGTGGGATGTTTCAAGAGAACAGCATCGAAACATATATATCTAGGGTGAAACAGATCACCAGCCCAGGTTGGATGCATGAGACAAGTGCTTGGGCCTGGTGCACTGGGAAGACCCAGAGGGATGGGGTGGAGAGGGAGGTGGGAGGGGGGACCGGGATGGGGAATACATGTAAATCCATGGCTAATTCATTTCAATGTATGACAAAAACCACTGCAATGTTGTAAAGTAATTAGCCTCCAACTAATAAAAATAAATGGAAAAAAAAAAGAAATCTGTCTCATAAAAATAGAATGAGTGTTCAGTAGATAGATAACTACTGCTATATTTAAGATAGGAGAAAGTAGTGCCAAATGAAGTATCCAGAATACCATTCAAGCCTATTAGAAAACAAACAACAGAACAACAATAATGGAGAAAGTTTAAGAACAGGAAATTCAAAGGAAAGAAATAGTGATTGGCCTAGAACCACATTTGAAAAATGCTCAACTGAAATTCAAACTTATCAAAATATTTAGTAAAACTTATACCTAATATGAAGCTGTAGGAAAACTCAATTCAATAGGAGTCTAAGAGAACTTGGCCATATCTAGTAGAATTGGAAGTGTATTTAACCTATGATCAGCTTAGCAACATCTAACATAACTGAAAGAGTATATAATGTTTATGAGCAGTTCACTTTTCCATGAGTACGATGAAAGAAATTCCAGTTCACACAAACCAGTGGTCACAGACAAGGATATGTCTGAAATTGAAAAATTGTTAAACCTGAACATTAAAAAATAAGAGGTTTAAATACATCATGATATATTCATATAAAAAACTAGATAAGTGTTTACTTGTGTAGAAAGTATCAGCCCTACATTTAAAGCACAAGCAGTTGACTGCAGAGGAAGATACGAGCAACAGAGAAACACTCCATGCATTTCCTTTCTCAACACAGGTAAGCACTTGCCATGGATCTGGACTGTCCGTCTTGAGGGTCACTCTTCTTCAGTTATGGCAGCATTTTCAGTGTGGGTTCACATCCTGAAGATATTAGGTGTTGTGAATGAGACTTCCTTAGTAAAGGTTAAGAAACAATAGGATAAAAAGCAAATTTTATTGTAGGCCTCTCAAGTCCTTTGATTGATACTGAGCATTTTTTCCTTAGAAGGGATTTATTATTTAGACATTCGTAAGTGACCTCAGAACATTTCCCCAGTACCATTAAATACTATTCCCAGAGACATTAGTTTAGATACGTTGAGTTAAGGCACTGGTTATCTTATGTGTAGTATTACAGAGATGGTAGTATTGTTAATGTCCTTCAGTGTGAAGTTACATAGTGATTGAGTAGGAGGCAGTCTTTTTTCTTAGGAGTTGCAGGATATATAGAGAGGTGAAATGTTATGATGGCTATGCATGCATGCTTATTCGCTCAGTCATGTTTGCCTCTTTACGACCACGTGGACTGTGACCTGCCAGGCTCCTCTGTCCATGGAATTGTCCTGGCAAGAATACTGGAGTGGGTTGCAATTCCCTTCTCCAAGGGATCTTCCCAACCCACAGATCGAATCTGGATCTCCTGCATTGCAGCAGGAAGGTTCTTTACGGTCTGCGCCACCAGGGAAGCCCCATGATGTCTAATGTCTGTATTTATACTCAGATATGACAGTAAAAATGTCAAAAACTATACAAAGCAAATCAAATCAGAGAACATATTAACAATCATTGATTCTAGAGAGGCTGTTATATTACTCATTGTATTTTTATTTTTCCAACTAGACAGTGGTCTTTTCATTGTTAGTTTCTAATCTATCATGAATTTGGAGCAGAAAAAGCAGACAGTAACATGTCTGCTTTATGGCTTATAAAAGAAAAAGCATTACAGCACTCCCAGATTCTTCAAAAGCCTTCTCTCATCATCTCCACATTTATCAACTCTAGAGATTTCTTTTTCACATTAGTTTTTGGAAATGACTTCTTAATTTTAGAGGTGCAAGTTTATTTTACTAGACTTTATCCATAATTAATTAAGTAAACAAAATGAAAGATAGTGGACAGTTTTTTAAAATTCCTTATATTCACAGGGTCTTCCTCTCACATGAATTTACTAGTATCACTGAAAGTAGTAATTAATGAACACATTCTCTTCTAAAGGTGTTTTAAAATTAACATTTCATCCTTAGAAAAGTATTATTAGGTAGGTACTATAATCACCACTTTTAAAACTGAGGCACAGAGGGGAAGAGTGCCTTGCCAATACCACACAGGCAGCGGTGGAATTATGAGAACTCTAGAAAAATCTACCATGGCTAAAGTCTTCTCCCACGTCTGTCACATTGACAGAATTATTTTCTGTTGTAATGCTGCATAAAGTGTGGTCTGTGTACTGATGCTGGTCCACAAGTTGTTTGCTTCTGGTCTGCAATGAGTTAAGGTACAGACACTGAGAGCAAATTATATTTATAGAGTTATTCACAGAAAGAGGACAGGGCCAATTTATGTCTGTTAAATCCAATAACAAAAAATTGGGGGAACTTCCCTGGTGGTCTAGCGGTTAAGAATCCATGGGCCAATGCAGGGTACATGGGTTCAATCCTGGTCCAGGAAGATTCCACCTGCTGCGGGATAACTAAGCCTATGTGCCACAACTACTGAGCCTGTGCTTTAGAGCCCATGCTCTCTGAGAAGTCACTGCAATGAGAAGCCCATGCGCCAAAACTAGAAAGAGTAGCCCCCTCTTGCTACAACTAGAGAAAGCCCTCATGCAACACTGAAGACCCAGCACAACTTCTAAATTTAAAAAATGGTTTTTAAAAAGTATTAAAATAAATTGGGGGCTTCCATTTTGTATGTTTGTTTTTCTTTCAGTTTTATTTATCTGGTAGTCCAAGTTCATTGTGCCTTTTAAAAGTACTGGTCAACAACAGTTTTTGTGGGGAGGTAGTTGGTATCCTTCATCTTGGTTTCAGATGCACTGCAGCAGTATCATTCTCTAAAGTTAACCAAGACTGGGTGATACTTTAATTTTTTCAGCTCTTTCAATCAACATATGTAGTGTAAAACTATTTGTTAACTTTTAAGCATGAAGCAAAGGGGATTACCACATGTTCCCTAATAAGTAAAATTTTTCTTAATTATGAATTCTCTTGTTATAAAAAGCATTTTCTAAAGGTCACTGTATCCTCTGTAGGGGCTTCCCCAGTAGCTCAGATGGTAAAGAATCCACCTGCAATGCAGGAATCGTGGGTCAGGAAGATCCCCTGGAGAGGAAATGGCAACCCACTCCAGTATTCTTACCTGGGAAATCCCATGGACAGAGGAGCCTGGTAGGCTAGTCCATGGGGTCACAAAGAGGCAGACACAACTTAGCAACCAATCAATATCCTCTTTACATTATGCATAGGGATTCCTAACTAATGTGTTCTCTGATGTACAGTGAGTAGATCACAACGAGCAAAAGCCTTCTCACATTGTTTACATTTATAGGGTCTCTCACCAGTATGAATTCTGTGATGTCGTTTAAGTTCTGACCTAACACTAAAGGCTTTCCCACATTCTTTACATTTATAGGGTTTTTCACCTGTATGCATTATGTAATGTAGACTAAGTCCTGATTGAAGACGGAAGGCACGCCCACATACTTTACACCCATAAGGTTTCTCACCAGTATGAATTCTAAAATGATTAGTAAGACGATACCGGCGACTGAAGATCTTTCCACATTCCTTACATTCGTTTGGATTCTCACCAGTGTGAATTCCTTGATGAAAGGTAAGTTGATACCTACACATAAAAGCCTCCCCACATTTGTCGCATATGTAGGGTTTCTCCCCGGTGTGGATTCTGTAATGGTGAGTAAGATAACAGCGCCGACTAAAGGTCTTCCCACATTTGTTACATTCATAAGGTTTCTCACCAGTATGAATTCTCTGATGTTGAGTAACATGATGGCGACAGACAAAGGCTTTCCCACATTCCTGACATTTATAGGGCTTTTCACCGGTATGAATTCTGTGATGCACACGGAGTTCTGATTGAACGCGAAAGGCCTTTCCACATTCTTTACATACATAGGGTTTTTCACCGGTGTGAATTTTATAATGTTGATTAAGACCGGAGCGACGTCTGAAAACCTTTCCACATTCTTTGCACTCGTAGGTGTTATTGGTGTGAATTCGCTGGTGTGAAATAAGTTGACTGCTACGAATAAAGGCCTTCCCACATTCCTTGCATTTATAGGGTTTTACACAAGTATGAATTCTGTGATGTCGAGTAAGATGATAGGGACTACTGAAGGTTTTCCCACATTCCTTACACTCACAGGGAATCTCACCAGTATGAACTGTCAGATGTAAAGCCAACTGATAGCCACAAATAAAGGCCTTCCCACAGTCCTTACACTCATAGGGCTTCTCTCCAGTATAAATTCTACAATGCCGAGTCAGTTCTGTTTGGAGACGAAAGGTTTTTCCACATTCTTTACATTTGTAGGGTTTCTCACCACTATGAATTCTATGATGTCGAGTAAGATCTGCATGAAAACTAAAGGACTTACCACAATCTTTACAGTCATAGGGTTTGTCACCAGTATGAATTTTCTGATGTTGAACAAGGTATGAGCCACGACTGAAGGCCCTCCCACAGTCATTACATTTATAGGGTTTTACACCAGTATGAATTTTCTGATGTTGACGAACATGTCCTTGTACCTCAAAGGTCTTTCCACAAATTTTACATTCATAAGGCCTCTCACCAGTATGAATTCTTTGATGTTCGGTAAGCTGATAGTGAAGTGTAAAGGCCTTCCCACATTCCTTACATTCATAAGGTCTCTCCCCAGCATGAATTGTCTCATGTACTCTAAGGTCCCCCACACGACAAAAGGACTTTCCACATTCTTTGCACGCATAGGGTTTCATAACAGACTGTATTCTCTGATGTTCAGTAAGGTGATAAGGAAGCCTAAAAGTCTTCCCACAATTGTCACATTCATGGGGTCTCTTCCCAGCATGATTTCTCTGATGTACTCTAAGGTCCCCCACACGACAAAAGGCTTTCCCACATTCCTTGCATTTATAGGGTCTCTCACCAGTATGAATTCTTAGATGTTGAATAAGGTGTGACTGTTGTCTAAAAGCCTTCCTACATTCCTTACATTCATATGATTTCTCTATGGCATGAATTTTCTCATGTAGAGGAAGAGCTGCAGAGTTTTGGATTATCATTTGACTAGCATATCTCATTTGATGTGCTTCTTGTCTCTCAAACTCATGTTTACACTGCAAATCATTTCTGAAAATGGTGTCCTCCTGGATATAAGTTTGACTTTCATCCACTGTCTGCAACTGAAACAAATGTGTTCCACAAATATCCTTTTCTGGAAATACCTTCTTGGTGAAATACTTAGACTCCAAATCTGGAGGAAAAAAAAAGGAAACAAATGCTGTGATGTGATTTTTCTATGTTGGGGGTAGAATAAGGGATTGCATCTTATAGTCAAAATAAAAGACAAACGAAGAATAAGACAGATTAGAAGTTGATTTTTAGAGCAGAGGTTGGCAAGCTTTTTCTGTAAAGAGCCAGATAGTACAAATTTTAGCCTTTATAGGACATACGGTCTTTGTGACAATTACCCAGCTCAGCTGTTATAAGCTCGAAGGGAGCCTAGACAGTATATAACTGAATAAGTGTACCTATGTTGTAATACCACATATGGTGTATGGACACAGAAATTTGAATTTTGTAAAATTTTTATGTTTCACAAAACATTCTTCTGATTTTTTTCAACCACTAAAAATGTAAAAACTGGTTTTAGCCTGTGAGCCATTCAAAAGCAGATGGTCAGTTGTTTGTCTGCTGGATCCTGATTTAGAGAACTCCAAATGGTTGTAATGCAATTTGAAAGAAGGCAAAAGGCTTCAGAAAATGATGTGGTGCTAAAAGAGGGTAAAATGAGTGATTAGATGAACAAATTAAGTCAGTGGTCCCCCTACTTAGGATGGATGTAGAGGAGTTCCTTACGTATACTGCTTTTTGGGCAACAACAGAAAACAAAAGGAATGAAAATCTATAGGAACAACTTCTGAATGTCTTTGTTTTTAATCTTTTTCATTAGATGATTCTGATGCAAATCACTTTGAGAATCTGTACACAATTTTTTTTCCCAAAGGTTTCTCTTTAATCTCTTAGAATAAAATTCAGCCAAATTACCACAGATAAAAACATATCACCACCATATTGCCTTGCTTCTCTGTACAGGTCATCTTCTTTACTACAACATGTAGGAATCTATATCAATAGTACTTAAACTTGGGCACAGTCTCGCTTTCAAGTAAGTTGGAAATATGTATAAAATAATGTTATGCAGTGGAGAAAAGAATAGAAGTATAAATATAGAAGAGGACTTGGAAACATAGATAAAATGGTTGTCAATGGGGAAAAGAGAAGGCAGTTCCCTCTTTGAAATGGGAGGGAAATAGAAGAGAAGTGAAGTAAGGAGCATGACAAATGAGGGTAAAGATGAAGTGCTTTTGGGAGCTCACGTTGAGGGGCTTTTAATGTTTTCCCACAAATCAGGCCTTTTCCCCACAGGCCTTGGGCCTCTGAAAGGAGCCTTCATCTCAGGGCCATGTGTCTCCCTGACCCAGAGGGTGTGATGGCATGCACGTTGGCTGATCTGGCATCACTCACCTGTGAACCAACTTCCTGTTCCTTCTCTCATTATCATCCAGGGCTCTTTCTCTTGCTCCAGTAAAGTAATCATGTCTGGCTTAGGAGTGGAACATCCTGCTCACAAGAAAGAAATGCCACATGACTTACAACAGGCAAAATTCAAAATGACTTAATTTAGACTTGGTTATATCTCTATTAAACTCGAGGTCAAAATGTGTGTGTGCGTGTGTGTGTGTGTATGTGCATGCGTGTGCTCAATCCTGTCTGACTTTTTGCAACCCTGTGGACTGTAGCCCCCAGGCTCCTCTGTCCATGGAATTTTCTAGGCAAGAATACCAGAGTGGGTTGCCATTTCCTACTCCAGGGGATCTTCCCGACCCACGGATCAAATCCACATTTCTTATGCCTCCTGTACCAGCAGGTGGATTCTTTAGCACTGCATCACCTGGGAAGTCCTATAGGTCAAAAGAGCTTTTGATAAAATGGAAAAGGCCATTGAAGAATATCAACATTTGATGGATTCATGGTCATAGGACTAAAGAGGCCAAATAGGGGAGGGAGAAGGTCTGTTGTGCATTTAAAGCAGTACAGAAAGGCACTGAGGACACAGACTCTCAACCCCTATGGTCTGGGTTCAAATACTCTGTCACTTGCCGGCAGTTACTCCTTCCATGTGTTACATTTTATCAGTGTAAATGGGGCTATTATTACCTTAGAGGACTCTTGTGAGAATTAAATGAATTAATATATGTAAGAGCTTGCAAGGATGCCTAGCATGCAGTATTATTTCTGTTGTTGTTCTTATTTTAGTAAAAGAAAAATTTCTTGTTACTTTTAGTTATTAAGTCATGTCTGAGTCTTTTGTGACCCCATGGACTGTAGCCCATCAGGCTCCTCTGTCCATGGGATTTTCCAGTCAGGAATATTAGAGTGGCTTGCCATTTCTTTCTCAAGGGGATCTTCCCCATTAGGGATCAAACCCATGTCTCCTGGAGTGGCAGAAGGATTCTCTACCACCGAGTCACCTAGGAAGCCCAAAAGAAAAATACTGTCTTCAAAAATACTTCCAAGTTCTTCCTCATAATTCTTTCTTTCTTTTATTGATTTTTTTTTTTTTTCTCTCAGAATTCTTTCAATAGAAATGTAAGATTCACGGACTAGAATTTTCAACCACAAAGTAGGTTAGAGAGAATATGTCTCCTCTAGGATGGGATGAGTTTACTTCAATTTTAAATGAATATTACTGGGGACTTCCCTGATGATCCAGTGGTTAGGACTCTGTGCTTTCACTGCAGGGGCTGTGTGTTTGATCCCTGGATGGGGAACTAAGATCCTGCATGCCAAGTGGCACAACCGAAAAAAAAAAAGTAAATGAATATTGTTAATCCATCTACCACTCTACAAACTGTAGAGGCTCCTCTGATGATCACGAAAACACAAAACTCTAAGACTAGCTAATTCTCAGGAATTCTGAGCATGGACATTATATGACACCTGACTTCTCTGAACATACTACAGGACTCAATAACAGAATAACAGGCAACTGTAGGAAGGACTAGAGGAAAGAGTGAAGGTGACTGAAGGAAGAGAAGATGGCACTTAACCAAATGCCCGTTTCCAACCCAATAATACTCAAACCATTCTTTCAAAATAGGGGAAAGCCATTCAGCTGGTGTCTTAAAACAGAGCTCTGAAATTCAACAGTGGAGAAAACTGGTATTCCAGAAGGCAGACTGTCAATTATTTGTGCAGATATCCTTACCCAATGAGACCAGGTTGCTGTAGTTCTCCAACATCACATCCCTGTACAAGGCCCTCTGAACAGGGTTCAGGCACTCCCACTCTTCCTGGGAGAGGTCTATGGCCACATCCCTGAATGACAAGGACGTCCGAAATGACAGACCCATGTATTATAAACAATGTTTTAACTGTATTTTCAAAAGGGGAAAACTGCTTTGTAGGAAAGAGGCACTATAACAAGCAGTTAATCTGGTATCAAGCCCGTAACATGTATGGAAGAAAAAGAAAATCAGTAATTTGTAAAACGGAGTGCCTATGTACTTTTGAAGAGTACAGTTGTTACAAATAGAATGTCCTGTATATCATGTAATGAGTGAATAAAGTTTTCCAGTGAAACAAAATCATATCAATAAGCACACTGCCTATCATGCGAATAGTTTAAGTTGTAAATAAATATGAGTTATGTTGTTTTCCTTTCAAAAAACTAAAAGAAAAATAAGTAATGAATTGTTTGTCCCCCAAATACTCCAAAATCTCTAAGAAAATAGGACTTTACTGACATTTGATTTGGCGCAGCTGGTAACGAATCCACATGCCCAGAGTTTGATCCCTGGGTCAGGAAGATCCTCTGGAGGAGGCAATGGCGACCTACTGGCAGGATTCTTCCCTGGAAAATCCCATGGACAGAGGAACCTGGTACGCTACAGTCCATAGGCTTGCAAAGAGTCAATCATGACTGAGCACAGCACAGCGGCAGACATTTGATTTAATCAATACTCAGGTTCATTATTATGCAAGATAATATCATAAGCATTTTCCCTTGTCATAACAGATGACAAATTATTTTATTTACTGGCTGGCTATTCATCCATCTTGTGGATAGATTGGACTAATCCTTCTGTCACTTTTAGGCATTTAGGTTGGACAAAATGTCTAAGGTCTCCCCCAGTCCCTTTGAAAGTGAAAAGTGAAAGCTGCTCAGTCATGTCTGACTCCTTGTGACCCCATGGGCTATACAGTCCATGGAATTCTCCAGGCCAAAATACTGGAGTGGGTAGCCTTTCCCTTTTCCAGGGGATCTTCCCAACCCAGGGATCAAACCTAGGTCTCCCACACTGCAGGTGGATTCTTTACCAGCTGAGCTACAAGCGAAGCCCTAGCATTTGTTTCTAAAGCCCAGTCCCTTTAGCCTTTCTGCACTCCCCCATCAGGGGTCTGGGAGGGTCTTCCCACCTGCTACCACCACCATCCCTCAGGAACACTTGTTTGGATCCTAAGCTGATGGATGCTAATGTAGGGTGATCCACAATGACACCGATGTCACTAGAGACCCGCATACCCTCCTCAAGCTCAAAACGGACTTCTGTCCTGTTATTTAGCCCTCTGGGGACCCCTTGGACAGACCCTTGAGATTCCAACATGCAGGCCTCAGTCACACTCCAATCTAGTCCTACAAACCTCTTAGAATATGAGATCTCGTCATGTGCAAAAAAATCAACACTGAATTCCATCTTATCAACCTGAAACACTCAGGTCTATGGAGTCTAATGGACCATCATCTCTGTGTCATGGAATCATGACTCTAATGAGAGAAGTTCAAGGATTTCCCTCAAGCAACTTCACCCATCACTGCTCCACCAAGGGTCCTTAGAGAGACTGAGTCCTTGGAGAGGTGATGAAATAGGTGAACACTGGAGAGAGAAACAAGGGGCAAAGAAGAAGGCCACTAAGATGTGTGGCTCCATCCTTCACTGAGATCAGAGTGATTGAGGGCAACCTGAGCAATAGTGCTGTCTCAGGAAGGAAGTTCCAGGACAATAAACGTGATCACATGAATTCAAAAACCACATCTCAAGGAGGAGAAATGTGAACTTACATGGGCCATGGTTGTAGAACTGCAAGAACTTCGTAGTCCTCTTTGGGGTTCCTCCACTCGAAAAGTACAGAATCCAGAGAAGCTAGGACTGGGGGAGGAATGAGACTCTGAGACCAGCTGTGTCTCAAAGGAATCCCAAAAGGACTTAGTTAATATGATCCTGTTTTGCCTTCTTTGTATTTCTATCCCCATGATATCCCACATACAAATCAGAAGAGAAAAGAGGGAGCCTAAATGAAGCCAAACTTTCCCTATACCACAGAGGACCACCTGCACAAGTCTGGATACAAATCAGGGGCTTCCTGCATGAAGCTAGACCAGGCACTCCAGCAGAAGGGTCTCCAGGGACCTCTCTGGTGGTCCAGTGGCTAAGACCCTGAGCTCCCAATGCAGGGGGCCAGGGTTCAATCCCTGGTCATTGAACTAGATCCCACATACTGCAACTAAAGATCCCACGTGCCGCAACAAAGATGGAAAATCCCACGTGTAGCAACTAAGACCCGGTGCAGCTAAAGAAAGAAAGAAAGAAAAAAAGGGTCTTCAGTCCACCCAAATTTCTGATGATGTTGATCTGTATCTGTTCCATTAGTCTCACTTTGAATCTAACATCATTAGAAGCAAAACTGTTAGATATGAAGTTGTGCTATCACAATAGCCACATATGACTATTTAAATCAAATCAAATTTAAGTAAAATTAGAAGTTCACTGCCTCAGCTGCACCAGCCACATTTCGAGTGCTAGAGAGGCTCATGTGGCTAGTAGCTACCATACTAGAGAATGTAAATACAGAACATATTCATCTCTGCAGAAAGTTTTACTGGACAGAGCTGGTAAGAATCATACAGCCTAAATTTCATTTTTTCACCATAGAGTTCCCCTAAACTCAGAATAAACTGGCCAAAAGCTGACAGAGGTTGCTAGAGAAATGCTATTTCCTTTCTATGAACTCCCAAGAAATGTGACCTGAGTATCTCTCGTGGCTTTATTACCGCCTTGTTGTTGTCGTCTAGTCGCTCAGTCGTGTCCAACTCTTTTGCGATCCCATGGACTTTTAGCCCACCACGCTCCTCTGTTCATGCGATTTCCCCGGCAAGAATACTGGAGTGGATTGCCATTTCCTTCTCCAGGGAATCTTCCCAACCCAGGGACCGAACTCGCATCTTCTGCATTGCAGGCAGATTCTTTCCCACTGAGCCACCAGGGAAGCCCTCACCACCTCCAATCTCGTGCTTATGCTGTCTATTTTGACTTTATAATATTTGCTGCATTACAAGAAACTTAAGGATAGTGACCATGCTCAGTGCTTGTTCTCCTCTAACTACCAGAAGACTCGGCATACTGGGAGCCCTTATGTCTGTTATTCAACCAAAGCTCCATTTTTAGGCAGTTTTTCTTAGTGCACTAAGATACATGCACAAGATGTTTATCGTATAACAACTTAGAATAACCAACTGTTAGAAAAATAAATAGCTACAGGAGGCAAGAGGTTAAATAAATTATGGTCAGTTTTTCGCCCCCCCTTTGGACTTTTTATTTTGTTTTGGGGTACAGCTGATTAACAATGTTATGACAGTTTCAGGTGAATGGTGAAGGGATTTAGCCATACATATAGATATATCCCTTCTCTCCCAAACCCCCTCCCATCCTGGCTGCCACATAACACTGAGTAGAGTTCTGTGTGCTACACAGTGGGTCCTTGTTTGGTATCCATTTTAAATATAAAACTATGGTCAGTTTTGATGGCACACTAAGGCCCCTACTAATACTGATTATACTGGTCAATATTTTATGTTGGAGAAGGATATTCATGATGAATTACTGACACTTACAGGCAAATTAAACAAGTATGAGGAATTCTCTGGCTGTCCAGTGGTTAGAGCTCTGTGCTTTCACTGCTTAGGGCCTAGGTTTGATACCTGGTGGGGGAACTAAGATCCTGCAAGCTGAGTGGTGCAGCCGGAGAAAAACACAAGTATGTAAAATTAAGGGAGAGATTATAATGTCATTCATAACACAGACTCTGTTGTTGATTTTCAGAATGTAAGCCCTAATCTGACAGCTGCCAACTTCTCAGTTAGTTTATTGATAAACTGGGGATAAGAACAGTACCAATCTCCTACAGTTGTCATGAAGATTGGGATATTACACAGACAGCATTTAGTGACACGTAATTGCTAAATAAAAGTTAGATGGTATTGTGATGAAATTATTTTCTACTTTCTGTTTTTATAGTAAAATTTGATTCTCATGCCCACTTTTTTTTACAATGATATTTTACATATTTTAGAGGCAAGGCTCTAAAGTGGTAAGCACATCTCTCCTCATCCTTGCTACTACAAAAGAAGAGACACAATTCTTCAACATAAAGTTGATAAAGAGAATTAAATGGAGAATATTAATGAGGCTCAATCTTACTCTCCTGTCCTATATAAAGATTTACATTAATATTTACAGTCATTACCATTTTATTCTGTTTTCTACTATTATAAACCTGTCTTCCAAAATGTTGCTGGCATTTAAAGATACGTGGACTGGAGAGGTTATTACTGTGTCCTGTTAAAGCAACTAAATTTTTAAAATATTTATTTATTTAGGCTGTTCTGGGTCTTAGTTGCAGCATGTGGGATCTAGTCTCCTGACCGGGGATCGAACCTGGGCTCCCTGCATTGAGAGCATGGAGTCTTAGCCACTGGACCACCAGCAAAGTCCCAAAAGCAACCTAAAAAAGTTTAATCCTGAAAGCCTATCTTATTTGATAAATTGTGCCATAATAATTATTCATAGTTGATTTAGATAATGCTAAATTTAGAGGTATAAATACTTGAAAGGTTTATGAAGCTTCACTGACATGTTCCTCTTCTTTCTATATTCATGGAGACATAAGAAACCCCCGGTTTGGTAGAATTACTTTTTTCAAATAAGAGTTGTGGAATGTGTGTCCTTTGAATGTTCAGTTAGAACAGTTTCTATTCTACACACACATGCATACACACACACATATACAGGTTCACAGAAGAAATTTTTTGCTAAAATAAACCTCCCCAAAATATTAATCATGATGCCAGGGTTATTTTAACTTTCTTTTTTACAAGTCCCTTATGTAATATAACTGAATAACCTTTGGAAAAAAATAAGTATCAATTCCATAATATTAAGTATACAACAAATCTATATCCAATTAAAAATATTTGAAAATCTTGGAAGCAAATCTGTTTGACATGTGTGGGAATAGTAAGGGAATCAGTATGACCATTATTAATAAAGACTAACAACACTTGAACATTCTTCTTCAATACAATAAGACCTTTTCACAGACAAAATTCTCCTCTGAATGAACATATCAGGTGAGGGGCATCTGCAGACTAAATAAAAAAATGTGGGCAAAGCAGACAGACAAGTGTTTGGTTTATTTCCCCTTTCTCCACTGAATAATCAACTGAAATATCACTTTGGATATAACACTTGTAAAATTATCTCTGAATCCCAATAATAGTAAATGCTATTCATATAAAATTTAAAATGTGAGTATTATTGTTCATCACAATGAATCTTACTTTACTCATATGCACATTTTTTTTCTTTTGACAAACTCTTTATAAGCAAATCTCAACCTATCAATTCCCTGGAAAAAATCTTACGCATGATGACACAGATTTCCATGATTTCCAATCACGTTCCCGCTCCTAAACACCTTAAAAAGCAGATGCCCATGTCACTGACACCAATCAGACCACCTCTGATCTTGCCTCACTTTTAAACTGAGGTTCTGCAGGACAGCAATGATGTGATTCCACTTAAATATTCATCTCATTTGCTTTATTAAGCAAAGCTGTAACTTTAGACTCCAGGATATAAATTTACTATTACAAAAAGTGAATGAGAGGGGGACCCATCTGCATGGCCCCTCATTTATTGAGAAGGAAGGCCTAGAATAGGTCATTGACATTTCAGGAAAAGAAAAGCAAATATTTCTATGTACTAAAAACAAAAATGCATTGATGAACAAAGAAAGTAGAAGCTCACCTGATCTGTAGTTTTAGATGGGGAAATTTGTTTCCTTTCTCTTCAGGATCCTTCTTGCAAAGACTGGCAGGACTGGGGAAGAAGGAAATCATGAGACACCAAGCCTTTCTTAGAGCACAGCCAGACGGGTAATGTCCCCTCCAGGGCCACATCAGCTCTACCTCACGCCTGTGACCAGATGGGAGCCCGTCTTTGACATGATAGCCGACTCCTAGGATCAGAGGTAAGGGGATGCTGTGGTTCAGAAAAATGCAGCAGCACCCACATTGCCTCCAAGTAAGGACCCCTCTCACCATTTCCTCCCAGAAGTCTGTCTCGGAAACACTTTTAGCTCTAAAAGCCCCATTCCAAGCCCAGGACTGTGCCTTCTTGCTGGGAACCTTAATCCTGGGGTTCAATCTTGGACTTTTCTCTTGAGGACATAGTCTGTGCAGACACCAGGGCTGAGGGGAGGGAGGGTAAGGCAGCAAGGGCATGGGTCAGTTACACTCATCACTGAACCAAGCACCACTATCAGACAACCGCACCCATCGACAGGAGGCCTGACTTTGTCCTGCACACACACACACAGTCACACAATCGCTTTCCTCCTCTCCTCCTGCCCGCACAGACCTGAGGCTGCAGGCAGAAAAGCCTCCCTGGGCTCCTCACTTTGGGCGGCATCTCCATCTCCACCCCGGACAAATCCTGCTCCGCCTCACCTAGCACCAACTTCTCCCCCAGCTTCTACAAACTCACATGCGGTGGCTGGGCAACCCGGAAAGGACGGCTCGGTGAAGCCCTCTGGGTGAATTTTACACGCGGTGGCTTACTCGTGGTAGCTGCGCAACCCGGAAAGGACGGCTCCGTGAAGCCCTCTGGGTGAAGTTTACACCCTCCCCCTGGGCCTTCTGGGAAATGTAGTCCACGGCCGGCAGCCGGTGGGCTTGGGCTCTGAGTGCGCAGGCGCCCGCACGCTCGGACAGGGCGGCTCTGGTACCGGACTCTGGTACCCGCGTGCTCGCGCGGTGAGCTGACAGAGCTCAGCCGAGAGCAGTCCCGGCTGTGCGAGCCTCGACGGACCTCCAGACAATGGAGTCCAGAGTCTTGACAGCAGAGTGCGTCCGTGGTGCCGCCCTGAGGCCGAGCGCGTGCGAGGCGGATTCTGTCAGATTCTTCCCTCCGGGTAGTCCCGGCGCGTGGTTCACATGTACCCGGCCTCGTGAGCGTGTGTACGTGTGTATGTGTGTTTGCCGCTGTGAGGGTTGCGGGACCGAGTACGCCTGCGGCTGAGAATGAGTTGTGTTTCTGCGTGTGTGTAATTCTTTGGGTGCCAGACGGCGTGTGCTGAAGCAGCACCTAACTGGAAGGAGTCCACGGCCTGGAGTGTGACTCGTGACTGAGCAGTGAGGTGAGAGCCGCGGTGGAGACCGTGGCTGTGCAGGAGTGTGACTGGGGTGATGTGTGTGTGGTGGGGTGGGTATGCGGGTTGCTGTGTGACGGGGGTGGTTGAGCGGCGGGTGCAAGTCAGGCTGTGTGGAGGTAGGTCTGTGAATCTGAGTGTCTGTGTGTGGTACATCACGGGTGCCAGTGGCCTTGTGACTGGTACACGTGTGTGATCATATGAGCCACAGGTCTGTTATAAAAAAAAGAATACGTTGCATCTTCTTGCAGCATCAGCTGTGTTTCACGACTTGAGCTGAAGATTTGTCATTTATCTGTCAAACAGTTTTGCCTGTCTGTATAGAATGAATGGTCTCCTCTAGTAGCTCAGAAGGTAAAGCATCCGCCTGCAGTGCGGGAGACCCGGGTTGGATCCCTGAGTCAGGCAGATCCCCTGGAGAAGGGCATGGCAACCCACTCCAATATTCTTGCCAGGAGAACTCCCATGGACAGAGGAGCCTGGCTGGCTACCATGGGGTCGCAAAGAGTCGGACCCAACTCTGTGACTAACACACACATAGAATTGAATGAATTTTTTTCATAGAGAAAAATGGAAACCATAGTAATTTTTTTTTTAATATGAAGGAATTCTTTCCACTCCTCTTTGATGTTATGGGTCTGTGGCAGATACTCTTGAGAATCTTGGATTGAAAAAATATTTCACTTTATGCTTGGGAAGGCAGTGTGCCATAGAATTAGTCAGTTGATAACACATTCTGTACTTCCTCTCCCCTTTCTGAGCAATTCAGTCCTAAAGCTGTAAGATGGGCTTGGAGCCTGAGCAGGATGAGGAGGGTGGTCATGTAGGGAGTGGCTTGAGACACTGGGGCTGGGATTCTGATCAAATAAGTAAATATATCAAATGCAATGGGAGCAGCCAGGCTTCTCCCTATCAGCAGGGAACCTCAGACATGGAAAAGGAGATGACTAGAATGAACCTTGGGATGGTAGGTTGAAACTAGATGTAATAGTTTGAACTCACAATTATCTGTATGGTTCTTGGCTTTCCCCAGTCGATAGAAATTGACTAAAGGCCAGACAGGAAATTCACACAAGGCTTTACTGGGGCTCCTGCAGGCTGCAGTAGGGAGCATAACAGGTTCCCTTGTTTGCTCCCCAAGGGGTGGGAGTGAGCTCATTCCTTATATGGGGTGAGGGTAGGGGTGTGTCCAGGGGTCAGACTGGAGGGGTAGCTTAGGTGGTTTGCCTGCCCTCTGGTGGTGGTGAGTGCAGGGAGGCATGTGCAGTAACCCTGCTTTTGCTTCCAGCTCTTCAGAAATGGCATTTGGGGTTTGGGGGGTGGGTTGTTTGTTTTGTTTGTTTTTTTGTCTTTTTGTATCTTTTGGTCCAGAATTTGTCTGTGTATGCAAACAGTTATTTGTAGTCCCATATACTTTCTTTGTATTTTGTAGTTCAAGGAGAGGTGTGTCCAGGTGCAACATTGCAGTACTGAAGCAGAGGGTCCCAGGCCTGTCTCAGATTGATACAAAAATTAGTAGGTGCTGGACCACTGAGGGCACCAGGCTTACTTCTGGAGAGAACCCTGCTCTCCCTTGCAGGACTCTGGGGTCAGCATCTGCCTGGCCTGATATATCCCTGCTTCAGCAGTAGTCAGTGTGCTGAGCTTCCACTGGAGCCTCTCATCCTACGACATGACAGGACATATACCTTAACAGGCAAAATGTCCAAGTCATGTTTTGGGATAAGTTGTGAGGATAAGTAAAGGAAAAAAGAAGATGCAGTCTTTGGGATGTTGAGCACCATCTATTTCAGGCTCGCTCTTCCTATACATCCTCCTCCTCCTCTTCTCGCCACGAGGCTGACATGCAAGACTGTTTGTCATCTGGGATGGCGGTGGTGTGATCTGTGGCATCATGACATGGCTTCTGGTCTGGGCAGACAGTGTTGATGTTTGTCATGTTGCTGCATTGGTACAGAGTCAGTTTTGATCAATCAAGTCCTTTTTAACAACTTAGCAGTACATGTGCTGTAGTCTCACCTGAGCTATGCTTACTGATCCTGGTTGTACTCAAAGGAAATGTTACTAAAGAATACATGAGGGACTTCCCAGGTGGCCCAGTGGTTAAGAATCCATCTTGCAGTGCGGGATGTGGGTTCAATCCCTGGTCAGGGAGCTTAGAGCCTTTGTGCTGTGGAGCAACTAAGCCTGTGCACCACAACTAGAGTCCGTGTACCAAAACAAAAGATCGCGCATGAGGCAGCGAAGATCTCGAGTGCTGCAACTAAGACCTGATGCAGCCAAATAATAAAATAATAATAATAAAAAAGAATATATGTGAAACCTGGGGAAATGATCAACATTTGTCTAGACTGTTGGCTCTATCAAGCCAGGGTACACTCTCCATTGTTGGAATTGCAGAGGTATTCACAAAATGGATCATTACTGCTCCTGGGCAAAGAGTTTTATAGGAATTTCTTTTTCAGTGGAAACCTACCACCTGGTCCTTGGATGATGGTCACACAAGTGTACTGTTTATAATAAGTTGTTACATTATACATTTATATTTTGGGCTTCTTTATGTGTATTATTATAATTAAAACAATTAAAAACAAAACGGTTTACATATATTTGCTTCTTTTCCTTCTCTTGTCTTTGCAGAGCAGACAGAGAAAAGGGATCTGTTTCCCTTAGTAGGAAAACATTTGCTTTGAAGACTCCACTTCCAATGTGTTCATGTGTCTGGGCTGTTCCGCAAACTGGCCTTACTTTTTCCTTCTTAATGCGGTAGCATGTAGCTGAGAACAGAAGAAAGCAGTCCCTGACATCCAGGAACTGGCTTGACACTTACAGGTAGGCCTCAGTGGTATTGAAAGATAGCCTAGTGCTCACAGCTGAGCCACATTATCCTGTTGGACATATGCAGTCTCAGAACATCAGCATCAGGATCACTCAGACCATAATGATGGGAGGCCACTCTATAATTTTGTCTAAGCACAGACAACAAGGTTGCTGGGCAACCTTCAAAATATACCAAATATCCCCTCTTCCAGCTAATGTGACTGGCTACTACTTTTTACCAATTAGAGCTTCACACTAGTCCACTGTCATTTCTGGAGTACATGGCTTTGTTTTTTTCCCAGCCTCTTTGCCCTTTATCATTGATGTTTACAATGTGTTTTGTCCCTTTGTGACAGGACCCAGGGATCATTCCTGCGTTTAAATTAGGTACTGTTAACAAAGCCATGCCAAAAAAAAAAAAAAAAGGTCAAGTATATATTGAATACAAAGTGTACTAGACAAAAAAGCATTCCCATGGGACACTTACCTTGTATTTCCCTATTTCCAGGAGGCAAGGACCTCTCATCCTTTTGTTTCTTTTGAAATTTACTTTCATTATTTCTAAATTATATGCTTTTGTAAACTCATCAGTTTTGGTATCAGCTGCTGCTGAATATGAACAGTGAAGACTTTAGGTGTCTTAACAACCCACTTTCCTCTTGCTCATGCTGCTTGGTTTCCTCAGAAGGAATCCTTCAGGTGCCTGCCCAGGGCGCTTAGTCAGTCTCATCTTCAGCATGGCCCCTGTCTCACCCTTGCCCGAGGTACCCCAGCCCAGGAACTGCTGGCCCAGCCTTTGCAGAGTAAATCTGAGGTCTTCAGCCAGGCCTGGAGTAACAACAGCTCATTTGTTTCCTGCACACTCAGTGTATCAATTCTGGTTCTTATATAGCCTTTCAAGCAATCCTGTTTCCTGCCCTCACCTTCAGAACCTGGCCCCTCTGGATTCTGAACATGGAGTCTGTTTCTGGACTTCCCATTAGTTCAGGTTCACATTTCCTCAGATCTGCTACATCAACAGGGGGATCTCTGCCTCTTCTCAAAATTGTTTCACTGCCACCTCCTCCCTCCTCCTGTGTCCACATGAATTTATAACCTACTTTTGTTTTCATGAGGTGCCAGGAGGGGGGAAGAATTAATTTCTCTGCTCAGCCTGCCATGCTTACCTACAGAGGAATCACCCGTCTCTTCAAGGACCCGATTCCTCAACTATTTTTCCTTATACCTTCTTACCATCTCACTCCCAACTAAATGGTGACATTCATACATTTATCTAAGGAACATGAACTGACTGCCACGTGTGGGTGCTGAGACTTGAACTGTGATCAAGCTACAGTCCCTAACTATGAGGCAGTCCAGTCTGGAGGAGGCAAATGTAAGAAGTCCCAAGCAGAGCATGTGCACAGTGTAAGGGCAGCATAGGAAAAGGGTTACTTCCCAACTTGGGGTATCGGGGGAAGACTCCCCAGAGGGAGAGGGGTCTAAACAGAGACTTCAAGAGAAAAGTGGGAACTGATCCTACCAAACACACCTGTGTCCCAATGAGATGGTAGGAAGAGCCAGAGACATTCACAGAACTCAGGCATCCAACTTTCCCCTTGCCCCCTCATCCCTGCTCCAGGGGACTCTACTGGGTGGTTCCTCTGTCCTTGGTACGTATTCTGAGTGCAAAGAAGGTGGGAATTGCCCAAAACTTGGTCGTCTACCTGTAGGAAATGTGGGTGGGGAGATTATAGAGGCTTTATTTTGTGGTCATGGGCTGTTCATTTTCCATCCTTTTCCCCAAATTTCTGAAGCCATTTAGTGTGAATTCCTTACTTTTCCCTCAAGCTGTAACCCAGGCCACGTACCTCAACCGCGTATCTGTCAGGAAAGCAGGAGGGGCACAGAGGATCCTATTCAAGGCCCAGCTTCTCCAAAGGAGTTAAACTTGTAAGGAGAAATTAAACAGATTCAATCATATTTGTTTAATGAATAAATCAATCCTGGGTAAAGAGGAAAGAGAACTAGGTTTGGGGAAAGAGGCTGGGGAGGTGAGAGAAGCCCCCAGCCCCTGTGGTTTGGGTAGAGGGGTCATTTGTAAAATTCATGCTCCTGTTCGTCCTTCTTGATGACTGTCTTGTATGCTTTCTCGAAGTCCTTGGCCAAAACAATGTAGCGATTCTCTCGGACAGCCAACATCCCGCTCTGTCAAGGGATAAGAGTTAAAACCTACTCCTTGCACCCCCCGCCTCCAGTGATGGTGCAGGAAGACACAGACGCAGCCCAAGACCCAGGGAGGCAAAGAGGGACAGAAGGACGGCGGCAGAGTGGTTTCAGGAGGAAGGCTCTTCACACACACCCCTGCCCAATCTAGACAGAAACCATCACTCACCTCCTGACAGATGGAGTTGATATCAGCTCCTGAAATCTTATCCGGTCTGGCCACATCTGTGGCAGATGTGTTAAGGAAACCATTCCCTGCCAGACAGGGTTAACGCCCAGAGCCAGAAGTTGTTCGTGGGCTGTCTTTGTTACAGCCCTCTCCCCAGACCTTAGTCTCCCACCTGCTCAATCTGGGTGGTGGTGAAGGCAG